TGATAGGAGCAGCCACAGAAATACCACCGGAGATGCAATATGCTTTAATAAACAGCACAGAAATGCCAATGGATGCACTCTCTGTTTTTGGAGTTGCATCTGAGATACCAGTGGAAATATAACTTGGTTTAACACCAACTTTGGAAATGCTAGGGAACAGGCTGGAGTTTCTACCGTTGTGGCTGAAGTACCACTGGAAATATGGTTGGTTCCAGGAGAAGGGTGTGGAAATGCCAGTGCATGTGAAACATTTCCCAGGTCAGCCATAGAAATACTCCTGGAAGCATTATGTAGTTATGCCAGTGGTCGCAGAAATACCATGTATAAATGTGGTCTTCCAGAACAGCAATTAAAATACCACTGGAGATGCAATCAGCTTTGATAGATGACATGGAAATGCCAGTGGATATACTCTGTTATAAAATCAAATATTAAATACCAATGGACATATAACTGGTTCATCATGGGCATTGAAAATGTTACCCTGGAATACACTAATGTATGGTAAATACTTGAATCACTTTCTGTAGCCTGTTTGTTTGTCTCCATAGATAAACATTATTACCTTGTACAAGCAGAAAAAATGATTCTAGTGCACTATTATGACACAAGTTGCTGGAATTACCTTCAGAACATCCATATGATAACTATCCTTTAATTTGGTATTTCAATTCAATAAACAAGGCTTTCACTACACAAACCAGCTTTTACAATATAGATTATTTATAATACTGGTTTCATTTCTATTGATTAAGTAGTAGAAAATCTAACTCGTTTGGAAGGCTTTAATGAAGGAGAAGAAGGTGCAACCTCATTATCAAAATCCCATTCATCCTCATCACCAACTTCTTCATCATGATATGCATCAGTATGTCCAATCTCCTCTGCCTCTGCTATCAACTCATCTATCTCTATTGCATCTCCATCTCTTGAGTCTTCTGATCCACTGTCTTCCTGGTCAGCTAAGGCAAGAGGAACAGTGGCAGCATTTGCCATTGCAGCTCGAGCTTGATCTAACACAGCATCTGAGGGGCCCCATGATTCTCCCATTGGCCAAGCAGGTGTAATGCCTGCTACTTGCTCTTTCCATGCCTGAATGCGGGTAGCAAGCTGGTCCTGTCTTAGTCCTAAATGATGGCGAGTAACATTATCTGACAGCATATGAGAATCAAATAACCAAAATCATCAATGACATACCTGCACTTTGCATAGCCTGAACAAGGCCAGTCCAGGTGGATGTTGCCCATTCCTGGAGACGACATCATTCAATAGAAAGCCGATGAAGCTCTTCTTTGCACCGGTCACGAGCAAGAAGGTGGCGAATACCATCTCGAACAGAGTTGTTGGCTAGCCAGTCTGGTGGATGTGGAATATCTTCATGAAGGCCAACGTCTTCCCAGATATTATCATCAACATCAAGATCAAAAATACCTTCTTTGTTGATATGGTGAGGGAGGATAGCATTTTGAGGAGCATGACCTCGTCGCTTCAAAAGCTCAAGTTCATGGCAAAGTGTGTTGTACTTGTGAACAAGCACACTGATACCAGGCTCACGGCGCTTAACAGATTGATTGGCATGCTCATTAAGACGGCGCTCTAGAAATAATGACCATCATTAGCATTAAAATTGATGAAACAAGTCACAAGCCTACCATTGACAGATTGGCGATATGCACGCTCAAGCTTTGTTAACTCAAACTTGCGCTGACGAAGCTTGTCCCGCAAGCGTGTTTTGACAGCAAGGGCCTTCAGCCGAGTTAGGAGAAAGAGATTACCCTCCAAGTTGCTGAGTTTGCGACGGCCATCCACTCCAAGGTTAGATTTTTGGCGTTTGATAGCATCTTCAAGAGTTTTGATACGTTTGCGCATGTCATCAATGTCCAGTTCAGCATCAACAACAAGAATTTGGCGTGGGTTGATGAGACGATCCTCATACTGACGAACTGTCTGCTGCAACTGCTGTAATGTGTTCTCCAATGCAAGAATGCGTGCAAAGTCTTGTCGAGCCTGATTCAAGGTTTGACCTAGTAAAGGTGAGACCCTATACAATATAATAAATAAAAGTCTACTCACGAGGAAGGGGTTTAGTCTGAGCTTGGACTTGATCATGCCACTCTGACCGGAGTTTCTGAACAGATCTGTTAACAGTGACCAAAGCCTGACGTGCTGAAGTCAGTCGATCCTGAGCAGAAGACCACCGACGCAGGAGCCACAGTCCATAACCATCAATGGACCTTTCATCCAGATATGTAATTTGGACATCAAGGGTGAAAAGCCTTTGAAAAAACTGTCCAACAATTAGTTCCACATAGCTACAAAGAAATGGAGAACATACACCTGAGACACGAAGTGAAGGAATAAGGGCCTTGAGAAAACTCCATAAACGCTCACACCCTTCTCCATCTGATAGTCCAAATCCTTTGCGTTTACAAGGATGGTAGACCACTTGACATGGCCACTGGTGGCCATATGCGTGAAAGACAGATATACCAAAGACAATGCGGTCAAGGACATCAGGGAGCAGGTTCCACTTGTGACAACTCCGCTCTAGCTGGCAAGCAATATCATAGAGTATGCCAACACGCATATCCTTAGGAATGTGGAGGAACAACTGATTGATGAGAGCTAGGGCATAGTGCTGTTTCTCGCCTGCAGAAGTCATATTAACAAGCCAAAGGACACGATCATGTCGACACATCAAAGCCATCAGTCCAGTATCAGAGAAAAAGCGAGTGCTGGCTTTCTGTCTTCGCTCATCTGCAGCAATGAAGCTTTCCCCACACCCATCAAGGACAGAAGTGGGTATGCGCATACCAGGCTCGACAGAATCTTCTTGGCTTGCATCATGTTGGTGACCTTGCCTTCTACTGCGCTTTGCATCAACAGCTTCCTCAACAGCTAACACAGTTGCCTCATCAACAAAGACAGAGTGGGTAGGGTTGGGTGGATCACGATCCTGAGATTGGCGATGCGCACTGGAGCGCTTCTGGGTGAAACAAGCATCAATGCATACAATGCAATCAGGACTGAATGAAGTGAGTAGGTGAAGAGTCAAATAATGATAGAGACATACAGGTCTGCATCTCCCCTCCCAGCACGCCAATTATCACCACCAAAGCAGAGAGGACAACGTTCTTGAAGGTAGAGGCTAGGCTGATCATGCCCTGAGGTGTGACTGTGGCTGTCAACCAGCTGGTCAAGATGCTCCTGTGAAAATCGGTCTAGCACCCGATACCAATGATAGCTGCGCTGAAATCTGCGGCGTAGGCGATCCTGTATTTGATTAGTGAAAGTCAAGATATTAATGATAATGGTTTACCTTCATTGGAAACTTGTAACCCATGCCTAGCAAGTATGCTTCAAGAGTATCACTCCAAGCTGATACATTTGGGGCAGTGCGCAAAGCAAGCATATCCACAAATCGGAGAACACGGAGGTCAACAGCAAGGGTAGGAGTAGAAGGGGCACATGGAAAGAGGCCACAAGCAAGCAAGCGCTGAGCAATGCTACTGCATGAACAAGTGTCGACACTGACAACCTTGAGAGCTACAGAAATCAACACATTGGCAGTAGCAAAGAACAGACAATACATACCATCAAAGAATACACAAGTGATACTGAGTGTACGTCCTGTGCAACCACGAGTACACACACGTTTTGACTGAAGGATGCCCATGTCAGAAGATGTACGGAGGTTCTGTGTATCGCGAAGATGACAGTGGTACGGCTGGATGAGTGAGGGCAGCAGAGTGGTCCATGCTTGCCACTGGTTGGCACGCTTAGCACGACCAGATATATATGAGCGACGGCGAGGAGATGATATGGGAACAACCAAGATGTTAGATACACGCAGTGCTGACAGGTCTGGGATACTAGAAGCATCAACATCATGAGGCAGAGGTGGGGCATCATCACTGCAAAGACCTGGTGGCGATGAAGGAATAGGTGGAGATCCTGCAAGAGCATGGTGAGGTGTTGGCTTTGAACCTTTGACAGGTTTTGCAGTACTTGATTCGAAGGTGAACTTCCGTCTCCCTACATCTGTATAAGACATAGACATTAACATGAAATAACTACACATACCCGGCAACGCAACAAATGACCCTGACTCATCTTGAGCCTTGCGAGAACGTTTACGCTTTGTTCCTGAGGGACCCATGAGGTTTGCAACTGAGTAAGGTTTGTGTCAGCCAATTCAGATGAGAACAACCAAGACATGAATTAGCCTTTGTGATATGTACATGAGATTCATATGCACAATGTTCCATGGTGTACAGTAAAAACATGCGAGACGAGATCAAGAACATGCAGATCATTGTAGTGTATGTAAAAGAAAAGAAAAAGAAGTCCAAGCTCATGCGGCAATCGACCCATCTGAACTCCCCGGATATACATGTGGCAACACTGGTGGACGACCAAAGACATCGAAGAACTCCTGGACAAATGTGTCACAGAGCTCACGACGCAAGACAATGAGCTTGGCTTGTTGTTCGAGTGTCATGGTGCCAAACGTCAGCCCACTGCCCTCAAGGGAGACCCCCAACCGGTTAGAGACCCGAGGCCATGCACAGACGACCTCACGCAACGCCTCAAGCACTGCAGGCAACTCATCATCCGTGACTCCAAAACTGCCTGCACGGTGAGACGGCCAGGCATCCGGAACAGCACCAAAATGAGCAGGGAACACACGAGCGAGGATCTCACGGCGGATGGCAGTGGTCTCATACTGCCATAACTCGGGGGTGCGAACCTGGTCGACAGCGACGACCTCAGCAGCAAAGCTGAGGTCGCAGATGTCCCAAAGGAGCCGCTTAATTAAAAGCGGATCCAGTGCATTGACCTCCTGCCGAGTGATGGTGGTGCCACGGACAACCCAGGAGGATGCTTCACAGTTGGCACGGGCAGCATCGATGACGGGTTCCAAGAACCGATACATGCGGGCCTTGTCACGATTGCTGGCGGAGCCGGTGCCACTGTCGTCGAAGGAGGTGGCATCCCAGATTGATCCGTTGAGGAAGTCCCGCCAGTTCTGAGCCTTGGGCGGGAGCGAGGGAGGGTTGATGCGGATGAAGCGGAGCCACGGCTCTCGCAACGCAAGCCAGTTGACGACATAGCGGAAGAGACGGCTATGGTCGGTGACACCACAAAACATGGCCGGGTCGGGGAAGAAGTAACCGCCGTTCATGGCGATATTACGCACGCGCCCAGGAGACTTGTCGGCACCACGCATTGCCCCAGTCCAGTCGACGAAGGCAGTGGGCCAGAACTCGTTGACGAGCTCATCCCACTTGTTGCGTTGCTCCTTGGCGGCGTTGGGCTTGCCATTGGGCTTGGACTTGTCACCAGGACGGGGGTCTATGCATGATTGTTAGACTAGCAAGAAGGTATGCAAAAGTATGAAGACACTTACAAGGAGCGGGACGATTGGACTTTGACGACTTCGATGACGACTTGGAGCGAGAAGGTCCAGCTGCAGGGGGGATAGCCAAGGAGCGACTGCTGGTGGCAAAGGACGTGCCCCGCTCGAGAATATCCTTGAGGCCAGTGCCGAGGAGGTCGACCGAGATGCCATGGTATTTGAAGGAGGTCTCATCCTCAGCGCTGTGCCCGTAGCCGAAGCGAGCAGCGATGATGCGGAGGAGGCCAGGCTTGCCGCGGTGGAGAACAGGGAATCGAAGGTCGACGCCGTCCTCATGGTAGTCCTCGATGACGACGTGGGGGCGGGTGGTGTTGACGAAATGGATTGAATTCGTCTCCGCCGTCCATTGGGTGAGGCCGCGGGGGATCCAGACAGGGATGCCGACAGTATAGAGATCCTCGGCGTGGAAGGGCTCGTTGGTGAAGCATCCCATATACATGGGCGACGCGAGGGTTATGCCGTCCTCCTTCTTCAACCCCTCCACCAGAGATGAGTCGCGGGCATAGAAGCCCGACTTGATACGGAGCCACCACTCAGTGAACGCCCAGACGTCCATCACCCCACGCTGGAAGTCGGTGACGTCGAGGAGAATGGAACGATAGTCACCGGGAACTCGTCGGAATCGGTAGAGGATGTCGTAGAGGCGCCGAAGCGCGCGCTTGAGCCAGTTCGTGTTGTTGAGGACAACAGGCTTGATGTTCTGATGTTGTCTGTGACGCTCCTCAGCGACGTCCAAGAGGGCGCGGAGTCTAGAGAAGCCGGTGCCGTCGAGGGTGCCTGTGGTGTGTCGCTCCGGGTGACTCCAGGTGATGTCCTCGTCCGTGGGTGTCCACCACAAGAAAGTCAACTTGGGATCATTTTCGAAGTAAGACTGTCGGGGGTACAGCGCGACCCACGGCATGGAAGGGTGAAAGGCGGTGGGCCACTGGAAGGGATCGGCTTGGCCTAGACGGCCGTCTTTGCGAGCGCGGAGCTCCTGCTCGGTATTGCGATACTCGGGTATGAAGGGCGCGTTGGGGGACGTGATGAGCATTTTGTTGTCGGAGGTGAGGGCGTACGCGTCGAAAGCATTCCAATCGCCTGCAATGAGATCAGCGTATATTCATTTGAAGATGTATTGGACAGCTTACCACTGGGACGACGGTGCGGGCTCCATGTACGTGGGTCAAACTCTGCGGGGTCACGATACCAGTTGCCCGTCAGACGTTCGGTAACCTCACGGCGAGCGGCTTTCGTATGATAGCTGGACCTATGGATAATGGTTCATGTTAGAAAGAAAAAGAAGAAAAAAGAAAGAAAAAACACGCACATTATACACGAAGACTTGGCTTCGGGTGCGCGGGGTACTGTAGACTTGATGAACAAGGCTTGATGTGGCGAGAGCATGGAGAAGAGAGTATAGGCGACATGTAGGTGAGCTATAGTACGATCTATAGTACGATATAAGGCGCTCAGTCCCAACGGCGGCCAACGAACGACGGAGACCAAGGCCCGAAGGCCGCCCCGCACAGCATTTCCCAGCGTGATCCACCCAGCGGCGCGTCCCTCAGGACACAGACCCGCCGTTACCCGTAAAGCCGCGCGCTTTCACAGAGGAAAGCTCGACATTACTAACGCGCGGGACAGGTGGGGTTCAACACGAGGGCCGCCTATCGCGAGTGTCGGCGATTGTCGTGGCCGCCTAGACAACAAGTCTAGGACGAGACGGCGTCGCGAAGACGACCGTCGTGCGGTGGCGCAAAGCCTGCCCGCAGAGCTGAGAGACCGAGAGGAGGGGATGGCTCACCGGCCGGATGTTCTTGAGAGGGAGCGGGAGGGTTGAGGGTGGTCTCGACGCGGGCTCGACGCGGGCTTGACGTCAAGCACGTCGCGGGCTTGCTTTTGAGGAGGGCTTGGAGGGGGGAGCTGCCTTTTGAGGGCGGCTTGGGGCGCGGCTTGGACGCGAGGAGAGGGAGGAGAGGGGGCGCGGCTTGGACGCGAGGACGAGAGGGAGGAGAAGGGGCGCGGCGACAAGGGCAGGCGCGAGGAGAGGGGGCGGCGACGAGGGCAGACACGAGGAGGGAGGAGACGAGGGGAGGTGGGAAACGGGAGGCGAGAGGGCGAGAGAGTAGGAGGTGGGGCGAGGAAAGGGCTGAGGGAAACGATGATGGACGCGTCATCGTAATTTGAGCTCCGATCGAATCTGAGACTGAAAAATAAATGACGCGTCGGTGGAACTAAGCTTATTTGAGGGTGAGTTGCACTGCCACTCGCCTAATTAAGACGGTACTGACCTTAGAATAGCCGACGAAGGCCTGGAAGTTTCCAGTGGAGTTTCCGTATTGGAACTCCACTGCGTTTCTCCCTTTCCCTCTCCCATTTCCTTCCTCCCCCTCGCTTGATGCCCTCCCACCACCTCCCTCCCATCTTCGCCCTTCCCCTCCCTTTCCCTCTCTCTCTCTCTCCCTTTCCCTCCCTCCCTCGCGATCCCCCTCGTCGCCGCTATCGTGCTCGCCCGCCACCACTCGCCCGCCACCACTCGCCCGCCACCACTCGCTCGCCACCACTCGCTCGCCCGCCACCATCCCCATCATCGCCGCCCTCAAGCAAGGAGAAGGCGGGGAGTGGACGCGCCCACCAACGGTAAGCACCACCACCACCTCCGCGTCCATCTCCTCCCTCACCCCCCTCACCCAGCTCCCCCCTCCTCCTCGAGCTCGAAGACGAGGACGGCGACGACTGTCGTCAGCCACAGGTGAGCCGCGCCCACCCACCTCTCCACCCAACCGCCTCACGCCTACCCTCCAGACCACCCCCGTCGCTCGATCTCTGACGAGACGACGACGACGATGACGACGACGCTTGTCGTGGGCGGCAGGTAAGTCACGCCCGCCCTCTCCTCGACCTCGGCCTCCTCACGTCCACCTCGGCCCCTCAACAGCCCATCCCCGGCCCTCAACA